ATCTTTTTGTCACTCCCAAGAAGACTGATTTAGATAACCAAAGTTGATGTTTCAGACACCTTTCTTTACATCCTAAATTGCCACCCATTGCTATCTCCAGTTCGTCATTTTTAGTACGAGGCCCTTTTCTTTAGATTAGCTAAGATCCTATATGTTTTCAATTGGGTCGTGAGTGCATTTGAAGAAGGATGTATTCATTGGTTCTCTATTTACATTATTATATAAACAACTGGTTTCTTCTTGCTCTGTCCAAAGAAGCATCTACAGCTGCAAACTCCCCCTTCTCCTTCTAGAAACATCTCATTTGGGTTGGCTGATCAATTTCTCCATGTCTGTCTTGATCTCCACTCAGTATCTGATTCACTTGGAAGACTTTTTAAACTTGTTTGTAGAGTGGGCTCAGCCATCTTTTTTATGTCTTTGGGACATGGAGTTTCTGTCTATCAAAGATTTCAATACTCTTTCTCTTCCAGCAGGAGAAATTCTATCTTGTTTGGGAATTTTGGTTTTGCTCAAATCCTTTAGTCTTCTTAGCATACCCATATGCATCCCTTTTAGTGGTTCCTGGCATATCAATGGAATATGTCCAGAGATTCCTTGTCATCTCTTGCTTTTGTGGTGGCTTGATCAGTCCCACATACTGCTCAGGTTTGGGGGCAATTCTTTACACCTACACCATTTTCATGGTATGGCCTCCAGGAGAGTGGTCCCTTCATATCAATGCCCTCAGACTGTTGTGTCTTACATCAACTGGCATGGAGGCAACTGACCTATGAGCCTCTGTTCTCTGCCTTCTGGTTCTATATTTTCTTTTCTTGGGCCCACAATGACCTCGTTTGGTTGTCAACCCATCATTTCCCAGGAGCTTTGAACCTGGTAGTGAATTGACTGTCTTACTTGGACTGAATCTTTTCCATGAAGTGATCTTTCTATCCTCTAGTGTTTCAGTGGATTTGTCATCAGTTTAAAAGGCCTTTCATTGATGCCTTTGCAACTCCTCTCAACACCAAGTTTCCTCTTTTTCTGCACCAAACCTGAAATCTGCAATTTTGGCAGTATATACTCTAAGCCAAGATTAGACCAATCTCTTTCTTTCATCCTATCATCTTAATTGACTTCTTCCAACAGTTGTTTCTTATTTGCAACATCCCTTGCCAAGATCTTCTCATTGCTCCAATTTGACCAGCTCAATCATAATTGCCACTTCTGCATTTTTTGATGTTTGATATCCCTTTTATATCACCCTATTATTACAAGGTGTTATGCCTTCATCTTCATGTATGCGATTTGTCCAGTCTCTTGCATGATTAGCAGTTTTTATTCTTGCAGAGTAGCCTGTTTTCTTACTTGCTCTTGCCAGCAATCCACCCTTACACTTCATCAACAGAAACAAAAAGATGGTTAACTGCCACTAGTCCATTCACCATTCCCTTCCTACAGATCACTGTACTATTTTTATTATTATTATTATTCACATCCTTTTCTACCTAGCTATTTGAGAGAGGTATATCCACTTCTACAATTGCCAGTTATAGAGTGGCTTTCTTAATGTCCTCCCATCTTTTTCTTAGACATTTCCATTTTTCTTTCTCCTGCTTTTACATACCTCTTCTGGGCTGACCTCACTCTTCTTCTATGGCATATTTGGGCTGTTTGGTGTTATCTTTCTTGTACTTCTCACATACTTGACAATCACCATTGTCTTTTCCTGCCATGGGATTTCTCTTGTACTCTTATCACCTTCCACTTTGACTGGTTATGTTCATCAACCCATCTCACTTTTTTATTTTTAAATGGGAGAGGATGTCTGTTAACTTTATCAGATAATCTCCCATAAGATTCATCATCTCACAGCTTCTCTTGCTTCTCACTGTTAATATCCCTTGGATGAGATCTTGTAGAAGGGAATGTGGACAACCCCTGACATACTTGTATCCCATTACTTTACATCACATGGCAGTTCTGCCTACAGCTGGGTTTCATCTCCCTCCAGTTGCAATTCTACAGTCTTCCCAGAGACTAGTGAGATGAGATGTTGGTTATTTTATGATTATTTTTGTTTTACAACTCCCTCGATGTCAGTAATGTATATATCAATATATATATATATTGTAAAGACAATGGAACACACCAAATAGCTTGTGATGCTACACAGAGAATTTTGCTCTTTCTCAAAATCTGCATCAAGCTGGAGATAAAGTGTTAAGCCCATCTGCTCCTGCTCAATGGCCACTGTTGGGTTTTTTTGCTTGCCTGTTTTGGTAGTATACATATTTTCCCTTCCAGGCTGTATTTCACAAAAAAGGAAAATGACAGTACCAGGTGTGTGTCTACCTTCAAACCTGGCCAGTTCCTACTGTTAATATGCTCACTAACCCGTTGCACAGTATATCAGTGTGAGACCTCATAAAGATGTGATGATTCTTGTTTGATCCAAATATCTCTCCAGCATTCTCCCTATGCAAGTGACCCAGTCTCAAGCTGCTAGGGAGATTGATATGGGGAGTTACCCTTTGAGCAGATGTAATCCCACTGGTATAATACACCATTGATGGAAAGAATTGCTGGGGTGTTACCTGGAAATGTAGTACAGGCCACCATACTACACTATGAACTAAGCCATTTTTCTTTGTTAGGCCAGCCAGTTGGACTTTGTATTGTCCTTGGGATGCAGGTCTGAGATATATTCTCCCTGCACCTGATTATTCTGGTATGTAACTCATGTATTTATCCAGTACAGCATGGCTTGACAAATTGCCCTTGCCACACAATACATGCTTGCTCAACTGACTGCCTGGGAGATAATGGCTGTTGAGCAGTCTTGCATTTCACTCACCTGTGTGACACTTTATCACCATCCAAAAGATTTTTCTGATACTATTTTTCGCTCTACCACCTATATTACACAAAGAGATTGATGTGGTCTCCCACTGAGTGATACCCTGCTAGGCTACACACACCTCTCTGTTAATGGGTGACACACTCCTATCTGGTGCTATGTTTTCAGAAAAGAACTCATTTTGTAATTTCTTTCTCTACACCAACCTTTCCAAAATATTATCAATGTGGGATTCTAGCTCTTTTTTGTTCTGTAGAGAGGTTAGTAAATGTTTCTGAAGTTAACATTTTCCTTACCTGAAAATATTTCAGTTTGTTGCTCATCTCTCACACAACCTTCCACCCTTCCTCTCCACTTACAGTGTATTTATTTTGCCTGGACAAGAATGGACCTTTGTTGAAATACTAGTATTGTACTCATGGTGATTAATGCACATGGAGGATGTCACTCTCTTCTTGGTGATGAACTGTAGTCTAATGATTTACATCAAAGTTGGTGCAATAAACATTAACTCTCTCACTATGGGCTCAGTCACAGGGACCAAACTCGTAACCATTTTGTGCTAGTTATAGTTTTCATACTATAACTTTTAATACAGTATGCATATCTTCACAACATTTTGCAGGTTATCAGTAAACAATATGAGGCTTTCATACACAAAATATCAGATTTTTGTTATTAAGTTTTAAGAATTTTTAAGTTATGATTTGTGCTTGTGCATTTTTTTTAATGTTGACTATCCAACATGCAGAGTAATTTTGATTTTAGGATTAAAAGTACACTTTTATGCATCAGAAAATTGTCAAATTTCACATGCGAAACCTTATAACCTCCAGATAATTATCAGATGTTTTCTTTAAGAAAAAACTTTTTATTTTATCTATTGTATCTCTGTATGGGTTTGGTCAAGTTGAATGACCTCATAACCACCATTAAAAATTAGGAAATAGATATAAATTATGCTTTTTTTGTTCTAGAATGATTAAAAATTATAACACAAAACCACAAATGTTTGTTCTAAATATCTTAAATCTCATAACATTATACATCTATATATATTTATTATTTTTATTACATTGACCTTTCAGCCATGCCTGGCTAACATAGAAGTTGTAATGACGTGGCATACGTGCACTCATGTTACTATATCCAAGAATATAAAACTTGCCTTTACCAACTGTCTTGGCTGTGTTTTAGTGGACTAGTATTTTGTAAAATAGTTATATTTCAGTTATAATACATTATATATGTATATACATTATTACTATTTACAAATAAGTTCTTAAATTTCAGTTATTTTTCTTAAAACATAGAACAGTAAATAAAGAAATATAGAAAACAATTATCTCTTCTAGTTACAAACTTTGTACTCATTTAGTGCTTGCCATAGGTTGCTAAGCCTTATCAAATTTTGCACGTGGAGGATGTGAAACAAAATTAATTTTTCTTAGGTTTTATATATACATTTTGATATAACAAAAAAACATAAATTACTATATCAGTACCACAGAATTCCACTATAATTTATCAAGCTTTGTAACTAAGCTGTATATGGGTCTAAAAAGTATGAAATTTGAGCTCACTAAGATCTTACCTTACCACTTGAAATCTAGCATCAAAAGAATGAGTTTTGCCACCTAAATATTTTTAATATGTCTGACTAAAATTACAGAAGTTGCAATGATATGGTGCATGTATGTTACTGTATTCAATAGTATAAAACTGGCCTTTACAGAGTGACCTGTCTTGGCTTTGTTCTGGTGGACAAGTATTTTATAAAATACAGCCACATTTTGGTAATAAGACATTACATATATATATGTTTTTACTATTTACAAAAGTTCTTAACTTTAGTTATATTTCTTAAAACATAGAACAGTAACTAAAGAAATGTAAAAAACAATGATCTCTCCTACTTATGATTGTAAAGATGTTTGTACTCACTTGCTGTACCTTGCATGCAGAATTTTGCATGTGGAAGATGTAAAATAAAATGACTTTTGTAGGTTTTATATATGTATCTTTAAATAACAAAAAATTATAAATTACTTTATCAATATTGCAGAATTGCACCGTACTAACTAAACTGTATTTGGGTCTAAAAAGTATTGTTTTTTTGAACAACATTTTCACTTACTCCTTCCTTCCAAGATACAAGACAAAAGAAATAATCTTGGGAAATTCTCACTGTCACGAGGCTGAGAAAACTGCATGTGGGGAATTCTGAGTTTGTGATTGGTTATAAACACATGATAGAGTGAAGCAAGTTTATGAAAGAAAGTATTTCCAAAAATGAAAGGGGTGGGTAGGGCCACTATGTTTGATTTGTTAAATATAGTGATATCTCAGCAAATAGAAAAGATAGGAGGTTCTTAATTAATATACTAGCTTGTCAGTATCAGTAATTTGAGTTTCTAATTTGTAAGAAACCATAGACTTTGTATTTGGACATCACAAACATCTAATGTGAACCAAAGCTGCATTCACCATACCACATGACACACAAAAATCGATATTTATAGTTTTATTTTTTTATTTGCATTTAAATTAAGAAAGTAACTAATGTATAATACTAAAATTTGAATTATAATCTATAATTTGATACCAAACTTATTGACATACATTCATAAAATAGTAGTTCAATAAAATTTTGAATGCAAGTCTATGAACGTGATGATATGCCCTTTGTTCCCTGGCCATAGGAAAACACGTAGCAATAGGATTAATACATATAGGGGTGGAAGCTTTGTTCAAGGCTCATGATATGCTTAAAAATCTTCACAGCAGTTGTGTGAAGTAATAGCTCTTTGTTGTGCAGAGAGGTAATTATCTGAAGTAAATTTTCATACAAGCCAGGCATGTACATCATATGGTCTGTGGGCCGCATCCAATCTGCATGAGTTCTTAAAATATAACTGAATCTGGCCTACGAGCTATCCATGAACTCTTTTTCTTTCTTTCTGTAATTAATCCAGGAAAAAATAAAATTACAAGTGCCTATGAACTTATTAAATTCTGGAATTAAATTACTTTTAACAATAAAATGTAATGAGCTCATTTTCATTTGATTTATTTAATATTTTTCTTACTATGCGACAAGAGACATTACACATTCATCCAAGCTAGACGATATCTTTACCATGGGAACAAAGCTTGTAATAAAAGAGAAATTAATGATTGTCTGTACAGAAAACAATGTAATATAATATGTCATTAGATAGATGAAAATCTTGGCTTTTTATTGGTTATAAATAATATAATATTAAGTGTAAGAGAGAACTATTAACATATCCTAAAATAGAGGACTGGAAAGGTGGGTGTGGTCTGATTTTCTATTTGATGGCTCTGTAACCAAACAAGACTGAAGGTTAAGAAAATTATGCTTTGTTCGAGCAATGATGATATTATAGTGAATAATATATGTTAAATTTTGTTCTTATTGGAGGGGTGGTGAATAAATTATATACGAGGGGATGCCTAGAGAAAAAAATGTCATTTCTCACACTAGTGAAAATTCAGGATTTATTTGAATATTGCCTCATAAATTTAATAACTTGTATAATATTAAGATATGTATTATTAGCTATGAATGCATCTGATCCACCTACTGGTATGGTAAATGGTTTAAAACATTTTTCATAACTTTTATTATTTTAATAATACTCTCATTCACTGTATATTCTTCTGCTACTCTATTTCTATCCTTTTTATAGTTATAACAAATTTTGCAAAGGAAATCACAGTCTTTTTACATTTTACTTTTACTTGATACGGTGTGGCCTGCAAGTACATTTAAAAATTGCTATCTGTTCTGCCCCCTATAAAAAGTTCCACATTCCTGATGTAAGCAAATGTTAACTATAGCTCTGTCAAAATCACATTCTTACTTTGTTTCCTCCCACCACTCATTTCATTATTTTATTTATTTCATTCTTGTGTTACCTTATCTTTCATATTAACATTATTAGGTTGATTTTATTTAATATGGAGTTCCTTATATTCTTCTGACTTACACATACTTATTTTTCTTGCCTTATCTGTTTTATTGTATTTTCTCACTGTCTTTTTAGTGATTTACCTTTCAGCTGTTATGATCTTTGGCATTTTTGTAAAAGAAATGATTTATAAGTACTTTAAATCAGGAAGCTAAAGACTAGTCCATGTTTTCACAACAAATATGTATGTTAAAAATAATTCATATTCAATTAAAGTTTACATTTACAAAATTATTGAATACAAAATAGGCTTTACCTCTGAACTTCAGGATTTTCTTTGAGTGTTTTTGTTTTGTTTTTTCATAAAATGATTATTAAAATAGTTTTGAAAAAAGCATGGTATGTTTAGCTTATGAAAGAATGAAACTTTTACTACAGAGGTATTTCTCTATGTGATAGCAGTAAGGAAAATGTATTCAAGTGTTGAATATTTTGTAACTTCATATATAGATTAGATAAATGTTCCATGGGGAAGCAGCAATTAATATGAGATATTTACATATTTTTGCAGGCGTGTGTGGAAAATGATGGACAGTGAAAGCATCACTCAAGTTTCAGTTGTTACGAGGTTCTTCAGGAGGCTTTCTCAAGTAAATAGTTATGTTTGTTTTCTTTTTTAAGTGATCAAAATGATGTGTGTTGTGTATATATAGTAATTGTGTGTGTGTATATAGTATGTTGTGTGTGTATATATAAAAACATATAAGCAATACACATGCAAGAATCAGAAGTGATTGTATTTATTAACAGTATAATACACTAGTATTTTGTATGTAAGCCCTTTTCTTTAAACAGAGCATTACACCTTACATTCATGCTACTACTTAGTTTATCAATGTAGAATTGTGCAACATTGTTCCAAAAATCCTGTATTGCTAGTCACAATTCATCCAGGTTGTTTTGACCCTCTCTGTTTTTAGGTACAGACTAAAAAATGTTCATATTAGGAATTTGTGCTTGTCATGCAGTAGTTTTCAATGTTGCGTCAGCCCCCTCCCCTTTTTTTTTCTTTTTCTTTTTTGGTCAAGATATTGATTCACCACAGTTGCTGTTTGCTTAGGATTATTTCAATTTTTTGAAGGCCATGGATAGGCCTAAATAAAATGTTTTTAATTGTGTACCAGTTTAACATTAAATATTATTTATGATTTTCCTATCAGTAATGTTATTGCTTAAAATAACTTAAGGTAGAATTTTTTTCGTGATGTTTTAATTTTAAACTATTTCCAACTGTATAAGCAATAAGACATTAGTTGACTTCTAAAAGTTTGCCTGAGTTCAGTACTTCATCTTAATGAATGTTTATTTGAAGTATTATGAGGGTTCTTCTTTTTTGTATCTAAAAGTTGGATTATCTTTCTTACTTGTTCAGTCAATAGAATTGTCAATTAGGTGATTAGGCTTCTGACAAAGGTTACAGGGTTTTTATTTTTTGCCCATCTCAGGCATATTATGTTGATTATAGTTTCAGATACAATGGTGTTGTTAGCTGGTTGTTTAGCTTTAGTTTCATTTTTGGATTAACATGCCATTTTTTTCTTAGCATTCATTTCTAGTTCACTGAATTTATCATTTTGAAGTGTTCAGTGTTTGTAGAAATGTACTAAAATTACAATACAGACTACAAATAGTTGGTCTGTGTTAATATCTAGTTTCAAACCTGTTGTCCAGGTTGATTATTACTAGATCTAACAAAAAGTAATTTTGGTTCTCTTTCTTCAACTGTACACTTGATATTCCTGTGTTTAGAATTTAAATAGTCTTGGAATTTTTTGAAATGGGTCTGTTCTCTGAATTCAATAGAAGTGTCACCAATGTACCTCTTACAGACTGAAGGCTGAAATTCATATGGACAGGACTGAAACTAGTTTTGTGATGAAACAAAAATTAATTAGCTGAGATGAGAGCAAGTGGTGAGCCCATGGCCACACTGTAAATTTTGTCATGTCCTATTATTAATCCTTTCACATAGCGACTGTAACAAATGTTTCTCATTGTCATTCAAAATTGCTACATGTGACATATGGGAGTAAAATGAGTTGGAAAGTATTTATTGACATCCCACCTGATGTTGATACATGATTTCCCTCAATGTTTTCCACTCATCCCCTCAGTAACCAACAAGATATCTAGGCAATGTATGACAACTGCACACCAACAGTACCCACATCACTAGAGTGGCAAGTAGTAACCCTAATTACTATGTAAATATGCTTGATATGTTTGAATTAGATAGTGAGGGAAATATTTAAAGCAAGTCAAGTGGTGTTCAAATGCATGATGATGAAGAGGCAATGAGACAAGAGGATGCTAGCATTCCATCTAGTGATGATAGTCAAGATGATTAACCTGGACCTAGCAGAGAAAGATGTAAACAGTGTCGACAGTGGGAAACGTTTGTCTCGGTCACAGTGTGAGGGGGTGGGAACACTGGGAATATACGTCCCAGCTGCAGTGAATGAGTTAAACACAAACTGAATTTCTTTGGTAACAATTTGAAGTAGTTTCATGAATTGATTTTTTAATTAAGTCATTAACTTTAATGTCATCTGGTGAAATATTAATGTATAAAGACTATCAAAATTTTCCACTTGATAACATGAACCTTGGCTACCAGAATCAGGGAGCAAGCACAAAACTGCTGTTCCAACAACTCTGGAATTTACAACCATCTAAACAAAGACTGCAATTTAAAGCCAAATGTTGAATGCCTTTAAATAATAGACTAAGCAAAAAAATGAAAACTAAGGAAAAAGAAGCTCTGTTAACTCAAAAAATGAAACTGAAGCTAAATAACCAGCTAACAACACATCATCTTGAACTATAATCACTTGTCATGCTTGAGTTGGGCATGTATTTATCAAAATGACCAGCCTAGTTTTCTATATTTTGGGGTTCAATCTTGGTTAAGCTTTAATGTTTTTTATTTTTCATACTGTTTTTATGATATATTTTGTTGTGGAAAGTATGATTATTTTTTGAGTGACCACTTAAAACTATAGTTAACAAAATCAGTGGTGAAAGTTGTTCACTTTACATTACAATGTTTTTTCTAAAGTTTACATTATTATAAAAATTTTAATGTTTAAAAAATCTTTTAGAGTAACTTTAAACATTACACCTGAATAATCATATTCAAATGTAATTCCTATTTCTTGAGAAGAATAGTTATAAAGACACATTGGTTCATTTACTTTAAATATGAGGAGGATTGTAATGGGCAATGTATAAAATATATAACTGGACAAATATACAGTCAAACCTCGAAAAGAACAAGTTGAGTGAAATATAATAAAATTTTCTATATAGAGTGATATGTCCAAATAAATACAAATATTCTCTTAAAGCTCTTCTTTTTTTTTGTTCTAATATATTGTTTTATTTGTTCCATGTTTTTTATTTTAAAGTTTTATGCATTATTCTTCTGAAATTTTCTTAATTTCAGAATTCAAGTAAATGATTCTTTTATTGTTGTTACAGTTTGAAATTTAAGTTTGTGTTTTAATCCATAATAAATCTGTTGATTCTTTGCCAATCCATGAATAACTACTGTATTGTGAGATTAGCTTTTAAACATTGTTGGTTTCCATGTTACAGATATACCAGCAGCTCCTTGATACTTGGACACCATATTCAGCTGTTCGATGGATTGTAACAGTTCTTTTGCTTGCATTGTACATGTTACGAGTTTTACTGTTACAAGTAAGGAACATAAATCTTATTACTAATTATTACATGACAAATGTAAAAAAAGTGTAAGAAATGCTAAATTAATTTAGAAATATTGACAAAATTAAAAACAATGAATACATCACTACTTCTGTTATATTTTATATTTGTAGTTTATTTAGTAATGAAACAATAAGTGAACTTCCTCTACTCAATTTGTCTGCAATGTTATAAATTGAGGGTATAGAGAAGCTTTTTTTCAAGGCCTTCTCTCAAACAAATTGCCACCCTGGTGGCTCAGTAGTAAGTTTGAAGGCTTGTAATGCTAAATTTCAGGATTTTATCCCTGAAGTATAGTACAGCACACAGCCCATTGTGCAGCTCTGACCTTAACAACAAAAACAAACAAGCCCAAGCAAATTAAATTGAAAGAGTTAGTGGTGGAGGAATATCCTAAAAAACATTGTATACTATTGAGATATTTTTGTTTTTTAAGAGATAATCCTGTAAAAAGTAAAGCTGCCTGAAATAAACTTAGTGACATAAAATGATGTAAAATTAATAAAATTATTATTTAAAATTTCAAAAATACAAATCACATATAATTCTTCTCAGAATTACTTGGATTGCTTTTTGGATGGACATTATGAAACTCACTAGACTAAATACAAGATTGAAGTACACTACTTCAATAGCTCTGTATTCAAGTTCTGGGATTATTTGTTGATAATAATAGCAAACAAAAGTTGTTCAGAGAGAAAGAAAAATTAATTTGTTTCTTCTAGTTAATGAATAATATTTATGATATGGACAACAAATCTCATCATAGACCCTGTTAAGTTCATTTAATGCCCTACATCATTCTGTGGTATTGATCATTTTGGTTTAGTAATATGCAGGTATACTATAATGAATTCAGTTGCATATAGCTGCTTTAAACAAATGTGCACGTAATCCGTTTGTATGTTGGAGAAGAAATGTTGACTGTAATTCTGAATTTACTAAGTGTATCTACATGAAATTTGGGAACTTTAGTAAAATTTACAAGTCTGTTGTACACAAAAAAACAGATGGATTAGAAAATATTTGTACCCAAGATATGTCTGTGAATTGATAACATCAGGCTAACTCAGACTTTTGACAATTTAGAGTGGAAGATGTTGTTCATGTGAAGAATAAAAGTTCTTTTGTCCATTGTATGATTTGCATATTGCATAACCTCTAGAACCTCCAAAATGCATATCTACAGTTTTTTTTTTTCAGTGTACCTCTGTATTGTATCTAGTATTTAATCTGCCACAATCTTTCAGAAAATCAACAATATAGGGTAAAATGAATAGTTGGTGACCCTGACATCAAATACATAATACTGTGTAAAATAGCACTCTGTAAAATGTCATGGCCTGTGCACTTTAACCCCCACATGAGCTCATGGGATTAAAAGCACTAATTTTGAAGTGTTGTCCATAAAAGGATAGAAATTACAGGGTTTAGTGTTGGGTCTATATAGGATAGAGAAGAGCTGTCCATACAAACTGTCAAACATTAGTTGTTACAAACAACAAATAAATGAGTCCTGTTGTCACCAAGTTGCACAACATTGTGATGGCATTGGGTGACAGATTGTTACTGAGTATAACACACCTGCTGCCTCTCCTTTATTAAAAAGTAAGTACAATGCTTTGATAAAAGCATTTTGTAATTGTACCTCACACTTGTTATGGAAACGTATAACACATTAAACCACTAGTAGCAGATTAATGCAGACCTATACCTATCAACACAATCATTTGTTGACTCAGTTACACTCAGAAGGGAACAGTAATTCTTCTATCATAAACATCTCTCATTGTTACTTTACCCAGTTGAATGAAGTGTAATAGCCACAAATTCCCCATGTGTCTGCCTTAGAGATTTGAATGCCACTAACCTTTTAGCAGGTCCCACCTAAACTTGGGCTACTGCATAATAATGTTGTTATGCAGTAAAAGCCCTCCACAAATAGGAGAGAGACACACCTTCCCTATGCACTAGCTCCCTCTATGTTTTTGCACTCATTATCTTTTCTAGTCTTTGAATATATCAGATTTGTTTTGTTTTTTCTCAGTTTACCAAGAGTTACAGTCGATTAACCCTATGGCAACCTGGTGCTGTAATTTATAGCACGTAATGCTGCTCTTATCATATTTCGTTACAAAAATAAAACCAGTGTGGTGAAATTGTTTGAAATTTGAGAAGAACAGTCTTAAAATTATGTAGTTTCAGAAAATAAAATATTTGATTTTGATTTTTTCTACTTCTTTTAATAAAAATTCATTACTTAATGTAGTTATTTGTGCTTGGACTCTGGATAGTTCACCTGCAAAGTGATTTTCATGTTAAGTATAAAATATACTAATTTTTACCATACAGTTTCATATTTCCCTTGCATAATCTTTAGAACCTCTTAAATGAATATCAAAGTTTAAGGTAAATGTTTATATTTTATTTTCCATGTTCTCTACAATGTCACTAACTCCAGCTATTATCATCAACGTACAGTGCAATGAAATGTTTAAAATTAAGAAGAAATATATATATTCATTTCAACTCTTTGTTGATTCCTCTAATAACATTGTCTGTAATTGACATGCATAATTTCACATCTTTATTTTTTCACTTATAAGTTGTTTTTAATGTTTTATTTTCCTCTCCTGTTCTTTATCTTTGATTATTTATGTCAACACACATCAACAAATGCCCACAGGTGATGTTATGGTAACTTTGGCTGTTAGGTTTAGCCCCTCTGGCATAATATTTTTTGCACACTTTCAGCAATTCAGAGTATAATTTAAGAAATAATTAAACCTTTAAAATATGAATCTTAACATACAAAGTATACATAATTAACTAAAATATAAAAGTAAAACCTAAATTCCATCTAACTGTC